CGCCGGCGGCTTTTTTTGCCTGGGGCGGCAAAAAAAGCCAGAGCCGGCCCTGACAGCAACCAAATGAGCTGCAGAGAAAAGCCAGACAGAGATGCCATGTGATAGGACCAGCAGCAGCCAAAGCAGGGTCCTTCTGGCCTTTGGACAGTCCAATCACAACTATAGAATGTTTTCTGACTTTCTCTGCCCTATGCTGATTGGCTATTTGCTCCAGCCCTCCACTCCCTTCTCACAGTATCTTCACCTCAGCTTCCCTTCACACCTTTTCCCCTACCCTGTCCCCTTCTCCTTCTTTCCTCTCCCTTTTCTTTCCATTTAGCTGATCCCCTCCTAAGTAAACCCACCAAATCTCCCTTCTCAAAAATGTTGCAGAACCAACATGATGTTTGCAGCCATCACATAGTTCATTCTGCTGTGTTTGTGTAGCGCCTAGCATGTGTTCCTGGGCCATGACTGTGGCTCATAGATGCTGTTGTAATACTACTACTACTAATATAATAATAAATCTAGCTTAAGAACATAAGAATGACCGGATTGGGTCAGACCAAAGGTCCATCCAGGCCAGTATCCTGTCTTTTGACAGTGGCCAATGGCAGGTTCCCCAGAGGGAGTGAACCTAACAGGTAATGATCAAGTGATCTCTCTCCTGCCATCCATCTCCACCCTCTGACAAACAGAGGCTAGGGACACCATTCCTTACCCATCCTGGCTAGTAGCCATTAATGGACTTAACCTCAATGAATTTATCCCGTTCTCTTTTAAACCCTGTTATAGTCCTAGTCTTCACAACCTCCTCAGGCAAGGAGTTCCACAAGTTGACTGTGAGCTGTGTGAAGATAGTGCTTGATGGTGCTGCCCAGAAAAGTTCAACTGAAAAGTCATTAGGGCCTTTCTGAGGTTTACAGTAGCTCTGCCTAAGAGAAGCCATCCCAAGTACATTCATCAGTACAGGATGCAGCTGAATTATTGGTTTGACTGAGAGAATGCTGCTGTCTTTGGTGGCAGGTTACATGGGGGCACTGTTTGTGTGTTCTACTTGTTTGAGCTTTTCAGCAGCTAATATTGTTCTCCCTGCCTCTTATTCAAAGGTTATTTGGATTGTGACTTTTGCAGCCGTTCTGTGTCTTGGTCTCGATATCGGCTTGGTCATCGCAATGGGATTCACCTTCTTCATCATCACTGTTAGGTCACACAGGTACTAGGTCTTGTTACCCTCAGAGCAGGGCACTAAGTTTACCTAAAGTTGTTATTTTGGGAATAGCAGTATATCACAGTCCAGTACAGAAGTGGTTTTGTGCTTGTGGGGTAAACCCTTCGGTTAATGTTTTTCTCAGGTCTAATGATTTCCCATCTGTGCATGAACTGGTACATTTTTGGGAATTTAACCTCCTAGCCTAGCTGATGGACTATCCATTTGAGCCTCTGGAAAGGGTGCCTCTGTCACCTGACTGAAGACCATTTATTGTGACAGTAACATCAACCAGGAGATTCAGCGAACTGCTTGCTTTAATCACCTACCCTTCATATACAGTCTTCCATAAGAATAAGGTGGTACACTGTGTCCTCATTCCAAGATTATCCCTAAAGTGGTCATTGATATTCACCTGACTCGGTCCATCAACGTATCTTTCTTCTCACTAAATGCATTCACTGCCAGGGGAGATCAGCTTACTCAAGTTCGACACTAAATGGACCCTTCTCTACTCCTGTAACAGAACAAAACTCTTCTATAAAATCTCCCCGTGTGCCCTCTTTCCCCGCTCCCCCCAGTTATTTAAGGTTTACATTGATAGACTTATGGGACAGATTATTTCTTCCCAGTGATTATCAAAGGACATTAAATTCTGTACAGAGACATGCTATGAGCTAGCAGGTATCCCAGTCCTTAAAAGTATCAGAACACATTTATTGAGTCATAGAGTTTAAGGCCAAAAGGGACCACCAGATCCTCAAGTTTGACCTTCTGTATATCCCAAGCCATTAAATACCATCCAGCCACCCCCATACCAGGCTAACAACCAGAATTAGACCAAAGTATTACAGCCCTCAGTTGAATTGATCCAAGGTGGCTTCTAAGGCATTCCTTCAGAATGTCACAATTATAAAAATATTTCTGTGCAGCATCATTTTCGTGACCTAGCCTTGACATCTAATGAGCACTTTGGGAGAGTAGTTCTGGATAACAGTTCATTTAAATATCCTCCCCATTCATACCATGTTGGCAGTTTGTTACTGCTTGTGAATTTCCCAAAAGTGGGGATGTGTACTGACAATACTCTAAAGCATGAGAAAAGTTACCAGGAAATGGATTTCTTTGAGTACAGTGTCACTACACACTGACACTAGCCACACTCTAGATCCTCCATCCTCACTTCTTTGGAGAATATATTGGATTTGTGGGAGGGAGGGACTACATGCCTTCTTACATACCCTTGCCTGGAGTGTTCCCTGGCTTGAAACAGAGCTTTCTAGAGGGTTCAAGGTTTGATGTGAAGGGCACAGGTGCTTGGATGTCACACCCCTAAAGCCACAGCTGCTGTACCCAATAAAGATGATAGGGACAGGGACCAAAATATTGGGTGGTGCTGGTTTTTCTCTCTACTCTAAGAAAATCTAATAAACACCTTGTTTCAGAATGAAGATTGTGATGCTGGGCCAGATTCCAAACACGGATCTATACAGAAGTTTATCTGACTACAAAGCAGTAAGAGAAAAAGCCTAATACTCAGTCCCTCTCTGTAATCCAGTTTCTTCACTTGGGCACCTGTGAGTGATCCATCAGACTCAGTTCGTTCACTTCAAGCCTTGAAAATCTGTAAGGATCTTTGAATATTGGCAGCGAAGAGTGATACAAATTGCCCAAAGATAGGGAGAAGGGTCTGACTTGTCACTTTGGGAGCTCATTCTATCGATATAGGCTCCACCGGTAATGAAAGGCTTGCTCCCTGTCATTGCTGGAACTATACAGAATTTATTGCTGATCTGCTGTCCTTAGTCAGGTTTTGCCTACACTAGGAAAATGACCCATTTTTCACAACAGATGTCAATAATGGCTGTGTCTGTGTGACAGATTTTTGTTACCAATTCGCCATTGGATTGTGACATCTATACTAGAGTTTCTTAAAAATTCTCCCAGCAGTCGTAGCAAGAGCCAGGGCACTGGTATTTTTACCATAATGTCATTGATCCTACTGTATGCGGATCTGGATAATGCTGTGGTGAACAGCAATGTCTACATTAGTACTCCCCTTATTGCTAAACTCATGGAGCTGCAAAGGTGGGAGAACTTAAAAAAAAGTTTGGTGTAGACAAGGTGTAGGGTATTTTCACTAATGAGTTTTGAAAACAATATGGCTTGTCCTGGTCAGAGGAGACCCATTGTCAATGTCGGCCGTGAATCATTTTTCTAGCATAGGCACAAACCTCAGAGACTCGGGTTTTGTCTTCCAGGCAGCGGAGATTGAAGGTGTGAAAATCTTCCAGTGTTGTTCCTCCATCTCCTTTGCAAATATGAGACATTTCAAAGGCTACTTGTTACATAAGGTAAACACCACTTTTCCAATCGCCATCAGCTTCTGACCTCCTCCATTGGAATGACACAACCCTCTCTGATACACGGTCTGTCTTTTTCAGATGGATGTGAAAGCAGTGCCCCTGGATGAAAATGAAATGAGATCTTTAATCTCAGTTAGTCTGTCTAGCACTGGATTGGAGAGAGAGGATTTGAAGTGTGCCTGTGTTTGTGATCCACCTGAGCCATTACCCAGGGTCAGCTACCTTTTTTTTTTTTTTAAATAATTATCTAGCCAGGGCACCAAGACTTTGTGACACTGAGGGCCATGTCATTAGCCTGCCTGAAGGCCATACCTAATTGCATATACATTTGCATATATTTGCAAACCAAAAATAAGCAAGTACAACCCTTATATTTGCTCTCAAACCTTATATTTGTTTATATCTTCCATGGTAGATGAATTGTTGGTTGAATTGACCAACAGTGGGAAAACCCAACATGTTTACCTTCCTTTCTGGGGCTGAAAAAACTAACTTTGTCAGATGCTTCAACAGGGGGGTTGCCTTCCTTTTCCCACACAAGTCAAAGACTGTCTTTGGCTGCCTGAAGAATTCTAGCCACTCCTAATGTGAGATACCCACAAATGCATGATCACTAAAGACGTCAAATCCTACTAGTCACAGTCTCCGTGATCAGAGGATTTCTCCTCTCCTTATTACGAACTCTGTTGAGTGCCTTCTGTATGGCCAGTTGCATGCCCCATAATCGGAATTTGACAGTATCATAAGCAAATGGATGGAAGAGGTTTCAGGACAATATTCTTAATTCTCTAAATTATCCAAGGCACTTTGTAAAAGATAACAAAAGCCCCTTGTGGGGAAGTAGTTTTGGAAGGATGGGCAGGACTGAGCTTCTGAAGGAAGTCTGTGATCGCTTTGAACTGCCATCTTCTTCCAACGTGCCAAGCTGCAGTGTGTGAACCTTTCAGCTGCTTTTAACTCTTTTTCTAGTGTAAAAGCCAAACTTGGAGCTATTCAGTATTTCAAACTTCACTTTTAAAAAAAGGAATTGAGTTAAAATTATTGGCTGGGTGACAAACTACTGCTGAAAAGGCAGCTAGGCTTAGAAGTGGCAGGGGGTGGAGAGACCAAGGAACCATCACAAGAAAGGGTTGGGTTTAAAAATTAAATAACAAAAGCATATATTCAAACTATTAAGGAAAAAAATGATAACCTCTTCTCTGTTTTCTCATCACTTTATCTTAGGAACTGCTTTTCATAGGGGAAGAATATGGTGCATAAAACCTCATAAAACTGTTTCTGTTTTAAAAAATGGAATATAAAATTAGTCGCCCACATTCCAATGGTAATAAACAACTTCAAGACGTGCAGGACTAGGCTAACAGAGCACTTCCAGGGTAGTTGAAGGTACTCTGCTGACCACATCCAAGACTTGCATCAATCTCCTACTAATTTATGTACTGTTGTGGCTTAGTGCTATATTTAGCGTAAGTTCAAAGGTATTTCTACCATGAGAGAGGAAAGATATCAAATGATTTACCATACTGTCATAACTGCAACAAGAGAAATTCTACCTTCTAGACACAATTCTCCTAACTGTCTTTACTCTGCACTTTACCATTCTAGATACCCTATACTGAGAAACTGGTGAAGCGACTTCATAGCGATAATGAGTCTTCATCGTCTTCCCTGAATTTGATACGTTGGTCAAAGTTTGAAAGCAAGCACAGTTCTGGGACTCTCACAACAGGAATGTCGCAAACACAGCATGCTCAGTCCACAGCCATCAGGCTCAGGGCAGCAAGACCTGAGACTGGAAAGAAGAAGGATGAAGGGAAGAGGACATGGCATTCTTCAGACCTTGGAGTAGATACTTCCACAACTCTATTGTGCCAAGAACCAGTACAGTTGCAGTCCACGGAGTTTTCAACATATCCAGTCCACACTATTATTTTAGACTTCAGCATGGTGCAGTTTGTGGATTTGCAAGCTTCAGACTTACTGAGGCAGGCAAGTCACTTCAATGCATGTGTAAAAGCAGAAACTGAAGTTTGCCCACAATCAGATGCTTCCCATTACCCTAAAGTTACCTATTATATAAGCACCTGTACCTGTTCCTGTTGACTTTAATGGGAGCAAGACCGATCTTTGTATTTTCACAAATGTGTAATTTCGAAGATCCACATATATTCCCTGGCTATTGTTTAAAGGTACACTGTAGATCTAAAAAAACACATGCAAAAATGCCTTTACCTGAGTCACTAATAATATCTGAGATTATTTCAATTCAAATCACATTTTTAATCTCTCATATAATTTTCCCCATTTCTGCTGTTTGTTTTTTTCCCTTCCCACAGCAAACTGGAAGCTTTGGCATATTTAGGTAGTGCTGGGTGCCTGTTGTTTTGGAACTTCAGTGCTTTGTACTTCATTACAGCTTCCAGGAGGAAATCCTGTTTGGGACATTCAAAGTGCTGAGTCTTGTTTCCAAAGTAGGAGAGGCTCAACTCTCTCATTCCATGAGATGTTCTATTTAAAATGTTGGGATATCCCTTATTGTAAGTTAGCATGTTCTTACATGAAGTCTTTGTCTCTAGCACACATGAGCATTTTTGGTTTGTCTGGACATTTAAGAGTTATCTTAGTCCTAGACAGAAAGAATAGATATAAAAATGTCTGTTCTTTCTGTTGGCATTGGTTTGTTGTTGTTGTTCATTGCAGCCTTACCTACTTTTTCTTTGGGACATCTCTTTAGCTTCAAGTGAAAATCCTGGCAGGTAGTATCTTTAGAGAAAATAAGTTACCAGTAGCTGTGCTTCTCTGAAGATACCATGTCAATGGAATTCTCACCTGATTCTCCTCAAAACTTAAAGATGATTTTTTAATGAGTTTCTCTACTTACACTTGACCTTGATTTTCAAAAGCAACTAATGATTTTAAGGGCCTCAATTTTGAGGTGCCCAACTTCAGGCACCTTAATTATAAAGGGACCTGATCTTCAGGGTATGCTGAGCACCTGCCCTGTAAAATCAGGTCCCTTTTAAAATGTAAAGTGTCTCAAGATGGTCACCCAAAAACAGAGGCACTCAAAATTACTGCTTGTGTTTGAAAATGTAGATCCTTATTTCCATTGTTTACTCTGGGGCATATTTTGTGTGTGCACGCGCATGTGTCGGTGTTGAATCATTTCCAATTGGCTTAATATGGGAGCTGTACAACCAAAGCAACTGATTTGAATACTGTGAAGGCCGAATTTATATCCTGCAGACTGTGGTACATGATGTCCAATATGGGACCTGGCTCTCTGGAGTCAGAATTCTTTGAACTGTGAGAGTTCTGCTGGTCTTGCGCTGACCTAAGACCCCGGACTAAGTCTTCTAGAACAATGGTATCTTCAGAGAAGCAGAGTTATAAGCAAAAGCTTTTTCCCCCTTGTATGTCCTGCCTTCTGGTGCCAGGGCCATTCCTGCATAGAGCATGAGAGTGGCACTGATATTAATACAGGATTCTCTCTACAGATGTTCCACATGTTTCAGAATATTGGCATTTCGGTCCTGATAGCCGGCTGCCACCGTGAGTATTGTATTGGTAATGCTATATTTAGCCACTCTTTGTAAGAAAAAGATAAGCTTTAAACCTCGGTGAAATGCTTTAACTGTGCTCCTTCGTGTGACCCTGTCTGCACTGGTGGTGGTTTTTTTTGTTTTACAGTCTCTGTAATAGCAATCTTTGAGAAGAATGATTTCTTTGATGACTGCGTCACCAAAGCACAGTTCTTTCTAACGCTGCATGATGCTGTGCTGGCCGCTTTAGAACAGAATCAAAAGCCAGAGACTGTGGAACTCAGCATTGGAGAGCCTGAACAGGAGTTAGATGAAGGGCTCACAGAAGAACAGAAGGTGTGATACTCAGTTTAAATCTAGATGCTGCCCAGTGATCCTACAAGGATTTGAAGGTGTAAGCATAGAAAGGCAGTTTGAGCTAGGGGAATGAGTATGGGCATATGGTAGCCCAGGGACTCCTGGGTTCTAATCCCATCTCTTACATTGACTCCCTCTGTGATCTTGGGAAAGTTACTTAATCAGTCTGTCCCTCAGTTTCCTCACCTGTAAAATGAGGCTAATAATACTGCCCTGTGTTATAGCCTGTTATATTAATTAATGTTTGTAGAGCAGTTTTGAAGATGTATAGTGCTGTGACCAGGTGCCTTTTGCAGTTTGATTTAAAACAAATTCTACACACTGTGTAAAGTCAAACTTATCCCCTTCCTGGGGATTGGCTTTAACAAAGAAATTAACAATAAGATAAAGTTCTGTTAAAACCTTTTCCCAAGCTTGGCTGCTCTTAGGATTCCTACCTCAGGGACTGCTTAGCCCACAACCTAAATTCTCTCCCTCCAAAAAAACCTCTGCTAGCTCTCTGATATGCAGTTGAGATAATGAACCATTTGCAGTATTGAGTCATCAGAAACCACTTAATCCATTCCCAGCAGGATCAAAACGTGCTAGCAAAGTGTAGTGGTTTCAGGAAAACAGTACCACCCTGTAACAGACTATATGTATAAGCATTATTAAACCCCAAGGAGTGAGAGGAAAGGCCTGATTCTTCTCTCACACTAGTGTAAATCACGAGCATGAAAGTCAATGGATTTACACTAGTATAAAAGTGGTGTTAGTGAGGAGAATTGGACCCAAATTGTTTAGGGTCATATAGGAGTAATGGCATGAAACTAAGCAAAGATAAATTTAGAATGAATACCAGAAAAAGTTCCTAGTGATCAGTTCTGTCAGCAGCATATCACTAGAGAATATATTGTTGAGGAAAATCATGCCTTGACTGTGGGCTATGTTGGGTGACAGAGAGAGGGACTCAGTCTGAAAAGTCTTTTCATCTTTATACTCTGATCTACAGAATTAAGGTAAATCAACTGGACTATACATTTTCATGTGTTGTCACATTACACCCTCAACTGCTGATGTTGAAACTGACTAAGAAGCTGGCTAACTGGGATTCCACTTGGATTCTTGCCAGGTTTCAAATAATAATATTTGTAAAGTAGTACTCAAGTGCTGAGTATTAATCAATTAATTCTCACAGGAATGACTTATCTACTTTCCCTGGTAGATAATTAGGTAAGTATTATTCTTTAAAGATCACATCAGTGCAGGTTTCATAGTCCTTAAAAAATATTCACAGTGGCTAAGGGTGACGGGAGGTATTTTGGATATTAGAAGTCAGTCCCTAGTTTCCATACCCTCTGATTTTCCCAGAAAAAAAAATCCTTTAGACATTAAATTCACCTTGCTTAAATTCAAACCAAAGATGAATTTTGGAAAATTTTCTGTTCGCTGTAGGCCAAATTCTGAAGTCTTTGATTTGGGCAAAACTCCCACTGAAGTCAATGGAAGTTTTGCCGCTGAAAGCCTTCAGAAATTTTGGCTTATCTCACTGACAACAGTACAATGCGTTATTGTCTTGCAATGAAGACCATTCGTATTCAGGAAAGATACCATGACACTTCTGAAAAATCAAGGAACTAATCCCATCATCCTTACCTACTTAGATAAATTCAGCCTCCCTTCACTTATCCTGCAATTTCAATTAGATGCAGCATTTTTTTTCCACTTCCCTTCCTAAACTGTTGTATACTATTGATGTGTGCTGTTAAACAACTATCCCCTGGCCTATACTACAGAATTACTTCAGTATAACTACTCAGGGGTGTAAATAATTAATATCCCTACCCTGGAGCGATGTAGTTATACTGACCTGAGTGCAGGTGTAGACAGCACTATGTTGGTGGGAGATCTTCTGCCAACATAGCTCTTGCCTCTCGCGGAGGTGGATTATCCTGTCGGTGTAGCGCATCTTCATGAAAGCGCTACAGCGGACAGTGATTTGAGTACAGACCTGCCCTCACTCCTGCTTTCCCCCCACAAGAGGTTGCTGCACTTCATTGGTTGGTAAAGTGACCACTATGTATGTATAGTTTGTGGTGCCACCTTGGGATCCTTTTGGATGAAAGGTACAATGGAAGTGTAAGAAGATATTATTATTAGGGTGAAATACATCATTTTTTGTGTATGTTGGCAGGGGGTGAACCAGTATGTGAGTTATGGCGAAGATGGTCTTGTTGGTGACATAATTTCAGTGCATATCCTCTTGGCTGCTAGATCAAGGACCCTGTCAGGGCAATTCAGAAGTTTTATTTTTTTCTAAATTATTGCTGGATCACTTCAGTCTTATCAAGGGAAATGCAAGGGAGCAGGGGGGCTTTTCATTCCAATATCTCGCACATTGTGCAGCTCAATAGAAGGCATTGTTTGTGTGTGTTTCAGGAGAGAAGTCTGCACTCCGGTAACAACAAAGATATTTCCTCTTTAAAGACTACCAGGAGCGAACTCTTAAATGAAGAACCGATATCCGATCTCTTCCGCACATATTCACTCCAGAGTGAAACAGAGATGAACGTATTCCAACAGTATGATGCTCCACCCCCTGAGCCAGGTGACAGAGATGAGGAGTGGGAGCAGAAGTGGAAATATGCCAGAGATCCCTGAGATGCTCAAGAGCTGACAGGGAATCCTAGTCCAGTAAATGGGGAGAGGTGCTGATATAGCACAGTTCAGGTAGTTCTTGCCTGCATTTTGGTGGGGTTTTTTGCCTTTGTCTCTTTCAAAGTTATTGAAGTAGCCAACTAGCCAGTCCATCCAATGGTTCTGCTGGTTTAAGGAAACTAGCACAGTTTATGAAGTTACCCTTCAGGACTTTCAAACAGAGGGATTATTTAGTAGTGAATTAACTATAAAACTTGGAGCCATTAAATGAATTTTTAAATGTTTCTGAAATTCTTTGTAGTTTTTTAAATGTCCTCAAACACGGCACATCTTTTGCACGTTGTTTTTTTTAGGGACTAAATCTCGTTTGCAGTTTTCAGCAGATTGCACGTATGCTATTTCATTAACCTCAGATGCATGCAAAATGAGGTGACACTCTTGAACAGTGTTTCTCAACCTTTTTGATACCAGGACTTGCTGCCTTCCTAAACTCTGTCAGGGAGATCTCAGGGACCAGCGCCGATCCATGGACTTGGTCATTGAGAAACGCTGCTCTAGAAGAAAGCATTTCGTCACTGATACTTTGCTAAAGTTGCCTAGTGTATTCAGTAAAAACTCAATACTTTGACTTTTTTCCAGTCCTGCTAATATCTCCTGCCAGTGAATTATGTTATTTGCTTCTCTTTTTGGTAGACATTCACTGAGACAGCAACAAATGGAGACATTTAGTTCCGTTTCATTATTAAGAGCTGAAAAAAATGGCTTCTTTAGAATAAGATATAGGTGGCAAGTGGAAAAAAAAAACTTCTCAGTTGTATTATCAGAGTACCAGCTTCATACTCAATAGACTGGTGAAACTGTGACATCACCATAATGGTGCATGCTGGGGTTTTATTTGGAACAGGAGCAGTCTTGCTATATCAGGGATGCACATCTCAAGACCCTACCATGTGCACATTCAGGGAATTCTTCCCTGGCCTCAGTACCTAGAGTGAGGACTGAGAGTGAAATTCATCAGCACAAGGTCCACGTACCATTTAAGTCATAGAATCA